TATATTAAATGTCTTGAAATATTATTATGCTAGAGAGCCCGAATAAAGGGACAGAGTATTATTATTTATAATTATACTTTTTGTTTATTTTAAGTTTAACATGTATTTATATGAATTTCTTTCCAAATAAACGTACAAAAAAAAAAAAAAAAAAAAAAAAAAAAAGTATAAAGTAGCCTATTGTTCCTTCCATACAGTGAAAATTTTAAGAAGATCGCTTCAGTGGTTTTGGCTCCTATAAGGTACAAACAAACAAATAAACATACATTCATTTTTATATATGTATATAGATTAAACATTTAAATCAGACGTCGGTGCTAGTATTGTTCTGACAACGAAGATTTTCGGCAAATTACATGTACATAATACGATCGCAGACGAACTTCTAAACAAGAGCATCAAAAATACAAATATTTTATTTAGTTGCTTGACAGCATTCAACAAAGCAGGCTGATGTCGCTTTGTTAACGAAATTGCAAACACAACTTCAAAAAACAAAAACAACTTGCAAAAAGAAGAGCATAATTTACAAAAACAACGTACACCCTAAATAATTTTCTAGAATGCATAACAATGAAAGTAAATAAGTTCATCTTGTTTCATACTTTTTTTGTACATTTTAATTTGAAATGTTGTTTCTATGTGAAGAAATTATCATTCTTATGAACATTGATTACATTTTGTTTATAAATATTCGCATTTTACAGTAATGCAATTTAATCTTCAAAATTAAAAATACCAAATATTTTTTTCAGTGCAATTTAATTGAAAAATGCCAATAGTATGTGTGTAGTGGTGATTTTTTTATCTGCCTCTCTATACGCCGGTATATGTTTTAAATCCATCGTTTGTAGACTTTTGTGAAATTCAAAACATGAAAAAATTAAATAAAAATATTTTATTTATTGGAATTGAAAAACGATTTCTTATGATTTATATTTCTCAAAATATAACATTTGCAATAATGTAAAAGATTTTTATACCCACCATCAAAAAAGATGGGGGGTATATTGATTTTGTCATTCCGTTTGTAACACATAGAAATATTGGTCATATTGGGTCCTCATTAAATTCTAAGACGATCTAGCCATGTCTGTCCGTCCGTCTGTCTGTCTGTCTGTTGAAAGCACGATAGAGTCCGAATGGAAAGAGCTAGAGGGTTGAAATTTCACATAAATATTTCTTATAGGTAAGGTTTGTTTGGTATTGAAAATGGGCAATATCGGTCCACGTACAAGTGGCCCCTCGAAAAGCAGCTTTAACAGCCATAACTTGTTTAAAAATACGAATATAGCGATGAAATTCGATATAAGTAAGTTTCTTATGATCCAAAATCAATATGCGAAATTTTATGAGAATCGGTCCATAATTGACCCTACCCCCCATATAAGGTCCCCTTCAGAAAATGACTTTAACGCTCATTACTGGCTTAAAAATACTATTATATAGATAAAATTCGACATAAGTAAGTTTCATACGAGTCAAAATCTATCTAAAAAATTTTATGAGGATCGGTCCATGATCGACCCTACCCCCCATATAAGGTCCCCTTCAGAAAATGACTGCAACGCTCATTAATGGTTTAAAAATACGAGTGTAGCGATGAAATTCGACACAAATAAATTTAATACGAACCAAATTCTATCTACCAAATTTTATGAGGATCGACCCATAATTGACCCTACTCCCCCAAATATGTGGTCCCCTTCAGAAAATTACTTTAACGCTTATAACTGGTCTAAATATACGAGTATATAGATGAAATTCGACATAAGTAAGTTTCATTCGAGTCAAACGAGGTTTGATGGTGGTTATATAAGATTCGGCATAGCCGAATATAACACTCTTACTTGTTTTATTTTCCTTTAATACACAGAAAAATACCTAAAATAAAAATCGTTTGTATACTTGAGTGACATAGTTTTCCATTCACAATCAGGTTGTATATTGTATCTACTAAAGTGTAGTAACAGTGATTGTGAACAGATGAAAAAAACAATCAAAACAAACAATGTCAAAAGTTAAAAAAATCAAATAATATTAAATTAATTAATAAATAAACCAAATTAATTTCTATTTATTTAAAATTCTATTATTTTCTTTATTCCATATTTTAAACTAATAAATAGTTTTTAATAAAATTGTATTTTTTTGTTTCGGTAAACAGCTGTTTGTTTGTAATTTCTGTGTAACCACTTTATCGTTTTTTACGCCAAAATCGATTGAATTTTTTATTTATATGCTGAAATAAACAATTGACAACACTAAACTTTCTTACGACATTCGAAAAACATATGTGTTCAATTCACAATCGATGTTGTAGCGTTGTATACGTTGTATGTCAGCAGCTGCTACAATAGTCATAACAATGTTGTTGGTATTTTCTATGCAAAAGCACTATACAACTCCTACGACAATTTTTCATGTTTTTCGAATGTTGTAAGAAAGTTTAGTGTTGCCAATTGTTTATTTCGACATATAAACAAAAAATTTAAACGATTTTAGTATAAAAAACGATAAAGTGGTAACACTGAAATCAAAAACAAACAGCTGTTTACCAAAACAAAAAAACTAAAATTTTATTAAAAACTGTTTATTTATTAGTTTAAAATGTGGAATAAAGAATATAAAAGCATTGAAAATTCAAAGAAATTAATTTGGTTTATTTCGCATGTTTAATTAATTTAATATTTTTTTGATTTTTTTATCTTTTGACATTGTTATGTATATTTGTTTTGATTGTTTTTTTTTTTCATTGAAAACATAAACTTATGACTTGCTGCAAAGATCTGTTCACAATCACTGTTACAACACTTTAGTAGGTACAATATACAACTTGATTGTGAATTGAACAATGAAAAATGTTCGTGTTGTATAGAGCTTTTGCATAGAAAATACCAACAACATTGTTATGACTATTGTAGCAGCTGCTGACATACTACGCATACAACACTACACATCGATTGTGAATTGAACATGTGTACATATATTGATAAAAAAAACACTTAAACGAATATAATTCATTAAAAAATATCCACATCGGAGTAAAACTCGATAGGAAATAATAGGTCATAGCACCTGCCGAAAATCACTTGATTTTTCTGAGCTTAATCAAAATTAAATCCATATATACATATATGCATAAAGGATATACTAAACGATAATACACTCACTACGGAAACAAAATTTATGCCAAGTTATCTAAAAATTAGTTAGTATTTTAAATCGCGGACCCCTTGAGGAATTTATTTAATTTAACACATATTTTGATATATTGTTGTAATAAATGTAGACGCGTAATATCTATAAAATATTCCCTTACATTGAGAATATTTAATGTTTCAGAGAGGTTTTCAATTGCATGGTTTTGAAGATAGAATGACTTTTTTGTTGAAATGTTAACATGATGTTTAATTTTATGATCCTGAGAACTTTCACGTCCATTTCTCGTCAAGGTTGCGAAAAGGTGTATCAAGTATTGTCGACATGTGCTTAAAGAGTCGCGATTCTAAAATATGTTGCGATTGCGGAGGGGTGAGCTGAGTATGTAAGCCAAGTTTTCGGAAATATAATATGAGAAAGTTGAACTCTTTCTTATTGTGTATTTGAAACTTAAATTTAAATTTTAAAATACCTACGAATTATTTTACTGCGTAGTTTTGACTGATGTTAATTTTATAATATTGATCTGTGTGTCACGACGGAATGGAATATTTATATTTAAAATTAACTGGTATTGAAGACGAAAGAAGGGTCACCTGTGTTTCGGAAATATATTATTTTAGTCCTTTTAAACTAGAACACTTTTGATTACGATTTGACATTGCCATTGAATTATAAAATGTGTCCTAACTTCATATTCTGGGATCCCAGTATCCCTTATTTAATTGTAAGGTAGATCATTATCCATCTGAAAACCTTAATTTCAGTACATACATATACAGGGCTATAGGGTTGCAGCAGTTTTTTAAATTTAAATGAAAAATGTCAGTTCTCACTCTCGTGTACCTTCCTTTACTTGTTTACAAAATTTTGTCCAAATCGGTAAATATGGGAAAAATCTTTTAAATTAAAAATGGAATTTCTCTATAGTTAAAATCATCGGAAAACTGCATCCAAATGCTACAAGTCCACAGGATGCATCCGTGGCCAGTTAGCCCTTTTAGAAGATTAATGGGCATACATATGGAAACAGTCATCCATCATATTTAATATCAGATAGACTTACATAGAATATATTACCAAAAAAATACCCTTTCGAAAAGTAATTTATTATTTTATTAAACATTTAAATCCATCGTTTGTAGACTTTTGTGAAATTCGAAAAAAATTATAAAATTGTTTTTTTTTAATATTTTATTCATTGAAATAGAAAAACGATGTCTTATTATTTATATTTCTCAAAACATAACATTCAACAAAATGTAAAAGAATATTTTTTTTTTTTCTTAAATACACCAAAAATACCGAACAGGAAAATCGTTTATAGACTTATTTGACATAGTGTAAAATGTAGAATTAAAAGAAAAATACAAAAATAAAATAAATTGAAGTTTTATAAAATAAAATTCTTAAAAAATAAATAAATAAAAATGATTTTTTTTAAACATACTTGGTGAACGGTACATAAGTTTCGGCACAGCCGATTATAGAACTCTGGCTAGTTTAATGCAGTTTTTGATTAAATCGGTTTAAGAACCGATGTAATATTTATTTTAAGCTATCAACGTATGTAATTTTAATTGTAGGGTTCCAACTTTTATAATTTGCATAAGATTTTTGCAAGAAATTGTAATTTCTACACATGAAACATACTTGGAAACCTTTAAAAGGGCACAACTACGTCATCTAAATCATGCGTAGGGCGAAATCTGTAGTATACCATTCTTGAGAAAATAACTTAAGTAATCGTATCATTTAATTATTTAAAGTAATCTCTCTTATTAGTTTAAATATTAATATTATAAATTGAAATACAAACATATTGTATAATTTTTCAGAATCTCATGCAGATGGATCATATATTGGAACTGATAGTGAAACGCCTTCTGTTGCTCCAAAATTTTTATCACGAGGACATTTGTATAAAGTTATTGTCGGTGAAACTATCGAACTTCCATGCAAAGTTCAAAATTTAGGATCTTTTGTGCTGTTATGGAGAAAAGGATCATCAGTTTTAACAGCTGGACATTTAAAAATAACTAGAGATGTTAGATTTAAAATAGTTGGCGATTATAACCTTCAAATCAATGGCGTAAAGACACAGGATGCCGGTGACTATATTTGTCAACTAGGAGATCAAGAAAATAGAGATCAAGTTCATACGGTAGAAATACTAGGTAAGACATACATACAAATAAGATAAAATCGATTTTTATACATTTAAATTTAAAAATTAGGCTATTTTGTTTTTCAAAATTTGGGGGGTAAAATGGGTGAAAAACGGGCAAATCTAATACTTTTGGGCGCAACTACTGATTATTGGTTATACCTAAGCGAAGAAATTTTCGATTAAGCTTTTTAAAGTACACAGAAAAAAGTTTCAGCATGTTTTCATTGATAAAAGTTAATAATATTCAACAATAAGTTCCTAAATTGTATGAATTTTTTAATTTTTATTTTTTCAAAGATAATCTAGAAGCCTTAACTTAAAATATTTCAAATATATTTTTATTTTCTATTTGTTAAAAAAATGTTTGAAATTTTCTTTGGAAAATTTTGTATTTCTTTATGATTTTTAGATTAAAATCGATGAAATGTGCACGTATTTGGCGGCATTTTATGAAGAATAGATGCTTAAAGCTACGTTCACACCTATGAAATATTTGACGTTTTTTATCAAATATCTGTTGGCTGTAATGTGAACACAAAATATTTTTGAAGAGCAAACAAAATATCAGATGTTTTTCGTGAAACATTTTTATTTGTCAACCTACAAATATTTTCCCAATATGAACACAATGTGAACACCAAACACGGAACATTTTTGTTTAACGTTAAAAAAATTATTTAATTAAATTACAATAGTTTCTTACAATTTCATAGAAATTTCTGCCTAAAAATAAAAAATTAAATACGTTTTTATTTCATAATGTGCTTAAAATGAGTATTTCTGTTTCGACGTTTTGTTTGAAGAAGCAATGCCAAACACAATCCAATACAAATAGTGAAAATTTGTTTGCCCGATGTTCACACTACAACAAATAATTTCTTAAAACAATTGACGGATAAAACAGTGAAAAACAAGATTTTGTTTGCAGGCAAAGAGGAACATAACAAGAAGAACAGTTAATGCGCAACCAAACCAAATGCCAAAAATATATCTGTTTATATTTACTACAAAGATATATCATTGAATAATAACCTCAATTTATTCTAAAATTTCATTTAATATTGTTTTTCAACAAATTTTTTTCACAAAAAATACAAATTACATTTCAATACCTTGTGCAAGTGGAAAAAAGACAGATGGTGAACCTGCACTGTCATGTTGTTGATATTTAATATAGCCAATGTAGCGAAAAACCTTGGTTGTTTGGAACGGTTTATAGCGATTTAAAAAATCGCTATAAGCCGGGAAATAACCAAATTATAAATTATTTTCATTAAATTATCTATAAAATTTAAAATTATTGAGAATTGTGTATTATTAATATGCTAGCTATACCCAGTGTGCTTTGCTACCCTAGAAGGAATATGTATAAACAAAAATGCCACTTAACGATTTTGAAGATTCTAACCACAATAGTTTTCCAGATTTATAATACGTTACATATGAGAGATGTCAAGCAAACTATTGCGAGTTCGCCAGTTTCTATCTATCGCCAATTTCTATCTACCTATAAAAAATTTGAATAATAGAAGAATTTCCAAGATGCACGAAATTTTGTATTTAATTTATATATGTTGTGCCAAGCCACCCATTGAAAGTCCGCCCCTTATGCTCTAAATGTTCACATGAATTTCAAAGTTCTTCATGTAAAATTTGAAGATTCTAGCTCTAATAGTTTCTCAGATATACGAATTTTTAGATTTGATTCGTGTGGTGGCTTCAAGCTCCCCACATTGAGAATTTTGGAATTTAAATTGAGAAAACTCCAATTAAAATTGGTAAAGTTTAAAATGAAATTGAGATCCTTTTATTTATATGACACATTAAAAAAAAAAACAAATAATAAAGAAATTCCAAAGTTAATCCACCGATTGTCGAGGAACAATGGCTGGTTTATCATGAATACTATGTAGGAATACCACCCAAGCGATATGTGTTGGAAGTCTGAATACGTCAAAGTAAAAAAAATATTAAAATTTTGATTAGGTTAAAAGTTCAGATCCCAGTATAAAGTATAAAAAGTATAAAAAGTTTCGCAGAATTTTTCAAAATGATTGTCAAAATGTTTAAATTTTAAGCTTTGACGGAACATTCATGTATTGCACTACATACATATATATGTACATATATATTTATTTGCAAATTAAAAATTAAAATTTTCTGAAAATCATTTGTAATTTTCTCAATTTCATTTGAAAGTTCCCCAAATTCAATTGGAATTTTCTCAATTTCAATTCAAAATTCTCCCTTTCAATTGTACTTTTCTGAATTTCAAATGGAAATTCGCATTTTCATTTAGAATATTCTCAATTTGAAACTGAAAACCTCAAATTCAATTGAAATTTTCTCAATATAAAATGGAAATTCTTAATTTTATTTAGAATTCTCTCAATTTAATTTAGAATTTTCTCAACATTAACGTAAAATTCTCAATTTTATTTGGATTTTTCCCAATTTTAAATTAAAATTCTAAATTTGATTCAGAATTTTCTCAATTTCAAATTGAAAATCTAAAATTGTGATTGGAATTTTCTTAATATGATTTCAATTTCACTTAAAAATGGTGTAGACTATAGACTAGACTATAGACTAGACTATATACTAGACTATAGACTAGACTATAAAGTAGAGTATAGACAAGACTATAGGCAAGAATATAGACTAGACTTTAGACTAGACTATAGACTAGACTTTAGACTAGACTATATACTAGAGTCTAGTCTAAAGTCTAGTCTATAGTCTAGTCACTAGACTATAGAATAGACTATAGACTAGACTAAAACTAGAGGGGCATTTCAAAAATTTTCGAGCAGGTTTTATACTTTACCTATAAAGTAGAGAATAGACAAGACTATAGGCAAGACTATAGACTAGACTTTAGACTAGACTATAGACTAGACTTTAGACTAGACTATATACTAGAGTCTAGTCTAAAGTCTAGTCTATAGTCTAGTCACTAGACTATAGAATAGACTATAGACTAGACTAAAACTAGAGGGGCATTTCAAAAATTTTCGAGCAGGTTTTATACTTTACCCTCTCCGATTTCGATGAAATTCGGTACACACATTCTTCATGTAAATACGGAATTTGAAATTCTCCAAAATTTCTATATCTTATATATTGTTGAGTACACAATAAGCAATCTTATGTGAAGTAATAAAGAAAATGGAAGGTAAATTTTTGGAGATATCCTTGACTAAAGGACGTTGTTTGATGTCATCATCCTCACATTATCCGATTAAAATCGGATAAATAATTAATATAATAAATAAATAATATACGTGAAATTTAATACTTGTTGAAAACAATTCAAAATCCAACTTTTTTGTTCGAAAATTTTTGAAATTACCCTATATATAGTATGTTGTTGTCAACCAATTAATAACAAAATAAACAACACAAATAATAATTATCTTTAATTTAGGCAATTGCTTAAATTTCTATTAAATGTCACAACTACTTTGTCTCAGATATCTATTTTATAAAAAATAAAATAAAACCAGTCATTTTAGCGACTATTTACATTTTTGTATGAGGTGATAAAACTCTTTTTCAGAAAATAAATAAAGAACAGCTGTTATTTGACGCTGTTTGATCTTACATTTGGTTTGCATGATCAAATAATTATTTTGCCAAAATGATGTAAATTATTTGACTTTTGGTGTTCACATTGATGAAACAATGAAAAATATTTATTTGGCAGCAAATTAATTTGTTTTATGAAAATCATCCGCATTGCCGTTTGTTAACATGAAATATTTTATGTTCAGATTCGACAAACAAAGTTTTTTCACTCGTTTCAATTTATTATATAAATTTAATTTTAAACCTAATAATAATAGTTAAAATTAAAACAAATTGGTAAGTTGTTTTTTTCTTGCATTAAATTATACGATATACTGTGGCTGTAAAACATGTGTATTTTTGAATCAAATTATTTTTACACTGTTTGATAAAACAATACCATCAAATATTTGTTCAAGTCTGAACATGAAATTAATATTGCGTTTGTTTGACGCAACTTCCAAAAATATTTTATTATAAATATTTGGACCAAATATTATTTAGGTGTGAACGTAGCTTAACTATGTTGGATGATGTTTTCTTGTTTAACATTTTGTTTTTCTGCATTTCAATTTATATTTTTTTATTTTACAAAATTCGCTAATAAAAGATTATTATCTACTAAATATGGAAACAAATTAGTAGATAATTAACTTTTTTTGCAATTTTTCATGAATAGCGTAGAAAAAAAGTAAAAATTTAAAAAATTTCCGTCATGTACAAGTTCATACATTTTATGAACTTTTAATATGAATGAAAATAATTTGGGAAAAAAAGTCATGTTCGATTCATACAATATATTACAAAATTCATTCATGTTATGTATTATTTTTTTCTGTGTATCAGAAATATATATAAGCTGTATAAGTTGGACCAGGACTGGGAAAAATAGGAAAATTAGTAATTTTGAGCTTTCAGACCGATCTTTTTCTAAAGCCAAAATATTTTGAGTGTTATTTTTAAAGTTTCAGATATATGTATGTTTTGAAAGACGACCCTTTGGGGGGAAACGTGTAAAAATTCAATTGCTATATACATAGATATACAATTTAAAATTTTTATATTTTAATGGAGCAAAGAACTGGAAAATTCATATTTTAGACAATTCAAACTAAACGGGAATACCGTTATTTGGACACATTTAAAACAATACTATTTTTTTGGAATGATTTCTTCCGTACTTATGTTTAATGAACACAGATAAAACAAAAAGTAATGTCAAAACCAAAAATTTAATATACAAAAAATATAAATTTTGATGTTTAAATGACTTTAAAATGTTTTAATTTAATAAATAATTGTGCTTAACTCATCAATTCAGTGTAATTTAAGGGAATTTCTTAATTTTTAAAAGAAAATTTTTTATTTGGAAAAACATTTCAAAGCAAAAAACACGATAACTTAATATGTGAACGGTTGTGTTTAAACTAGCGTTTTTTA